AATTTAACTAATTCTATGCACTCACCTTGGACGAACGCTGGCACAACATGACGTATACGCAACACGTTTGCATATATTACGCATACGCAATGTGGTCGCGATTAAAGCCGCCAATTGTTGGCTTTGTCCTCAGCTGCTGGTGTCGAATGCTGCCAGCAGCAGATAAATGTAATTACTGTCTTATCATAATTATGAGTGAAATGAAAGCAGCAAAGAGATTATAATGCGAGAGTATCCCAAAGGATAGGAGCGTAAAAACGCAACAAAAAAGTCGCACATCGCTCATACGCCCAGTGTGCGCTGCACACTCATACATATATGCATACATATATATAAACAAACAGCTTCCCACTGAATTCTTGCGAAGCGCCCTCTGCTCCCTGCCCTCTGCTCCCCACTTCGAGTGAATGTTTCAATGTTGCTGCTGCCTTAGTTGTTTCAAATTTTAATTTTATTTTATTGCAGCGCACAAATTGTGTGCCATGTCGCCGGCGGCGCTGTTGCGTGTAAGCCCCTCCCCATCCTCGTCCACTCTCCTCAGTGGCTTCTTCAGCCTGTGAGTGGGTGAGCACCGGGCGAGGGTCGATTCACATGTTGTGTGAGGACTCGTTTATGGCCCAGTTCATTTGCATTTCGAACCCCTTTTAGATTGGCTACAATATTGATGAGGACAAAATTCTGAACTAATGAACGTCCTCATTTATATTTCAATACTCTTGTAGTTGGATACAAGAAAATTAGCAAATTTAAAACGATAAATCATCATATTTGAATCGCTTAATCTAGTTCAATTATATATGAAATAAGTGAACAATGATTTATTTTGAATGACTAAAAGATAAACTTGTTAATAATTGAGTACGACGATATAAACATAACAAATGGAATAGATAGGGCTTCCCAAGTATGCAGTAATTGCACTCAAAACTATTGGATCTCCCAACGACTGTAGGTGCGTTGGTGTGTAATGTTAATTGCCATCATGCGCGCGCAAGACAAGTTGAGTCTTTTTATGGCCACCTCTCATCCGTGGAAAGCTCCTGTCTCTCCGCCGCTTTCCCTGCGGGCACCAGTTGACCCGGACCCGGACCCGAACCCGGACCCGGCCCGACAATCCCATCAGCCCATCCCGTCCAGCTCTTGCCCATCGTGCCCATCGTGCCCATCTTGCCCTGCCCCCGGTCTTTAATTACTTTCGTAGTTAATTCTGTTACAACAAAAAGCGAGAGTGGCGGCAGCAAAAACAGTGACAATGTCATTGCAAAAATTGAAATTTGCTTTTAATTTGCGCTTCTGTGTGGGCAGCCCAGCCCACCAGCCCTGTAGTCTCCAATCGTGCCCCTCGTCCACTGAATCCCCTCCGTTTGTCATGTTTCCGTTTCCTGTTCATTTCACATCAGTTCGTTTCGTTGACATTTTCCATTGGGTTCGATGAAAACGTGCAAATGTGAAATTTAACACAGAATAATATACGTGAAATTTCCTTTTAATTGATTTGTCTTGAGGGCCGGCATCGATTTTCCCCTCTTTGGTGCCACTTTCGTACCCGCTTTTCCGTTTTTCCGCTTTCCCTGCTCCATCAAGATGGCTGCCCGCTTTCGCTTGGCATGAAAATTGATTTGATTTCAAAGGCAAGAAGTTTATTGACATTAGATACGGCGCGAGAGCCTCTATCAATTTTTTATTTTTCTTTTCCACTGCCCCAAAACTTTTCCACACTTTGATTTACGAGCAGCGGCAAAACAAAAAAAATATATATATATACACATCGTTGGGAGGGCGCCCCGATAATTGGCATGCCGATCCCCATTCGCATTCGCATTCCGATTCTGTGCTCTTTCATTGGCCAATTTTTGCTGCCTTTTGCATTTGTCTTGCATTTGTTTTGTTATTAAACAAAGTTGAGGGTTCAAAGCGAGTGTCTGGATGTGAGACTGAGCAGAAATGAATTGGGCACAACAAAAGCGCCGAATGTGAATTGCAAATTGCAGAGCCTTTTCTTTTCTTTTCTTTTCTTTTATTTTTTTTTTGGCGTTCCTTGAACCCAAAGTCAATGCAAGAAAAACACTCCCCTGAATGACCAGAGTGACGAAGTCCAAAAAGGAAACTGTCAGAGGTTACTCAAGTGTATGGGAAAGTATTCTAAAGAAATGCACGAGTATACTCGTATTGTGAGGAATTTAATCAATCAGTGTGGAATGGTTGGTATCCGTTTAATGTGCTCACTTTGGTCTTGTTTTAATCAGAGTTATGTCGAAGATCTTTATGATTCTATCTGGAAAACCCTTTTTCTAGCAAAGCGATGCCCGTACTGATTAATAATGCACAGACTTGACAAATTCCCTTGTCAGCTGCAGTCTTCCAAACCTCTGAGTCCTTGGGATCTACTTTCATTAACTCTATCCCCTGTTGTTTTATCTGCCCTGAGAAATTGTACGACGCGGCTCCTTGGCTGCCTCACAAATATGGTAAATTTTAAGGCAGAGTTAAGTAGTTGACGACGTGCTTGGAAGACAACTGTGGATTACAGACATATTTTCTGACTGTGTACTCGTTTGGGTCTACCTTTTTCCCAGAGTGTTTAGTGTTTTGTGCATTTTAGAAAAGGCCAAACAACGACGAAAATGTGGACTGGGACAACGACATATTCAATTTCTGGCTGGCCGTACGGAAAAACTGTGTTGGCTCCCTGTCTGCCTGTAAATATTTGATGCCTTCAGAACACAGACTGCATTTTAAAATGCGTAATTACCGGCCAGGGAAACGCGGCAACTGACTCGACTCCTTGGCAGACTAACCAAATGGGGAATGTGATGTTTCTCGAAGGCAGTGAGTCGGATTTCGAGTTGAGTTGCTCGAGTGGCCGAGGCAAATGAATGAGCTAACTATAAATACAGTAAAAAATCGTGAATAGGGTGTATTTACACGTCATTTGCATGTGGGTGGCTTGCAATATTTATAAGCTTCGGCATATGTAAATGAGCTGTATAACAATGCAAAGATGATACAAAAGCCTGGGGAGAGTTAAGTATCAGTCGGTATTTCACAGGAGTTTTTAGGGCAAGACACTGAAGCGACAGAAGCAGCAGCTGGTCGAACATTATATTCGTAATATTGTCGCAGATATAGACCGCGGTGAAATATGTTCATTTATAGATCATATATGCATATGAATATATCTAAAGATATTTTCGGCCACTTGTCCACTCGGGTTGTCTTGCTTTCTGGCTGATTTATTGAAATGTTTTTCGTCTTTCTGCGCCAAACAGCGAAGGGGCTGAATCAAGGCGAAATAAAATCTTATATAAATTAATTTATTTTTCATATGATTTAAGTATCCTTTTTTTCCGCCGTCTGTTAGAAATATAAATATGCCGAGATATATTTTGATTGTTCTTTTTGGCAACATTTTTGTCATTGCGTGTAGGTCAAACGTGTTGCCGAGAATCCACCCTCCACCATTCGTTTGCTCCTTCTAGCTTTCCCCTACTCAAACCCATCTAACCGAGTTCTCAGACAAGTTTGAAGCTCTTGGAGCACTTGTTAGACCAAATGGGTTTTCAGATTTCTTCGAGGCAACTTTGAATGTTTTATGCAACAAAGAGATTATATGAATTTTTCAGTGGCTCATCTTTCGGGTACTTTTCAAGCCTTTGGCGTTTTGATATCAATATTAAATGGGTTTACTTTTTGTGCATTAAGGCTGGCAGCGATTTTTGTTTTGTTGAGCTTTCAAGGCCAGCGTCGATCGCTGGATGGGTGAAAGTTTCTTCGGTCCGCTTCCATTAGTTTTGTTACTTGGTACACGTAATGCCCCTCCCCTTGCAACCGCCTGTTGGCCACATTATTTCGGTTTCGACCTTATGTAATTCGAGACAATGGCGGACCAAAGATCTCTTGTAAATTCAATGCCAAACTCCAGCAACTCAACTCACATTTGTGCGAGACCTGAGCACTGGCACTGCAGCTCTTCGGTTTCGGGTTCCCGAACGTGTGTATCTGTATCTTTTGTGTGTATTTGGGCTACCTTTGCGTGGGTGCAGCGGCAGCGATTCAGTGACGCTTTTTGTTTCAGCGATAAAACGCTGCCTGCAAATGTTTTTTATCTTGTTATGTTTTTTTTTATTCCACACATTCCGAGTGTGCGAGTGTGAGTTTCGTGTAAGAGATTTAATATAGCACGCTGCTGTGGCTCGCTGACGTCATGGGCTGCCCATGAGAGGGGGCAGTGGGTGGTAGGAGCAGCCAAGCATGTGCCGGACTGATAAGGCGAAAAATCTATAAAACTTTTAACATGCCAATATGCTCGGGGACATGGGAAAATTTCTCCAGCCCGCGGGAGTCTTATCACTTTTCCTGTGGGAGTGGTCCGGTCCTTTATAAACTGTTCGGTTCAAGTGCCAATAGCGCAGTTATCATTCAGCTGCGGGGATTGCAAGTGGCGTACTCAAAACATTAAACACGTTATTCTGCTTAATGCAATACAGAGGTTAAACAGTATTTTTAGTTGCTATTAAGCAAATTGTAACCAAAATGTTCTTATTATGTATCTACACTATTTATTATGAATAACTATAAGTAGGTGCATTCACCCAAATACTATATGTATGTTGTCTGACCCTAGTTTTGAGGTTGCCTCACAGGGAAGTCATAGACACGACCTTGACCTAGCTGAATGCTCTGAGCTAATCGTGAAACGAGAAATAGCCAATGGCCAAATTAAATATAATAATAGAATCGAAAAGTCGCTTTTGGTGGTTTAGTGTGCTGAATGAGTTATCAGGTGTGCTCTAGCTCAATTTGATATGCGGCAGAGGTTAAGAAACCCGAGTAGGAAGTACAGTCGGGCTGAAGTCAAGGTTGGGTGGCTATAGGACCGGATCGGAAGAAGTCAAAGCCGACAGATACGAGCTGAATAAATTGCGATTTATGCAAATGCACGCTTGATTGAGTTTGCAGACACAACTAACTCATTCTTTTCGATCTTCGATATCTTTCAGCATTTCCCTCCGTGTTCAAGTGGAACAGTTCGAAGACAGCCGGAACAATCTTTTCATCTAGTGTGTGAAGAAGAGTGGAAGGACTTGGAAGAAATGGAAGATTTGAAATCCGGATACCGAAACAAGATATAGAAACCGATAAAATAATGACTTACACATTAATATTCATTCATAACATATAGCGTATTTAACCACGAGACTACAGATATTTAGTTGTAAACGTAGCTTAGTCTTAACTAAAGAATACAAGAGGAACCGATAAAGAACCAGCAACAGAAGCAAGTGCAAAGCGAAAGTGAATGGAAGACACTGAAATCATTAGAGAAAAATCATAAGAGGAAATCCAGGAGAATTGTCATCTAAACCAGGGCTAAAGAATTTCATTTCATTTCGATCGATCGAATGATCCAGGTCGGTCGCTCAGTCAGCTGCAGAAACAACAAGTTGAGAGTATAAAACGCTTTAATAATTTTTAAATGAACTACAAAAGGTTAAATGTAACACAAAAATTATGGCGCACACAGTGTGCTTGACAAAAAAAAAAAAACAAAAAAAAACCAAGCGCCATCAGCAAGCAAACAAAGAAGGCAGGCAAATATTGCGATTCATTAAAGTTGTAATTGAGATTGAGTACGGAAGAAGAGCAGAATCGAGTTTAAGGCCCTCAGAATAACCAAAACGAAAACCGAAACCAAAAGCGAAAGCAAAAGTCGCCGCCAAATGAGGACACTGCTCATCCAGGTGACCAGTGAGTGAAATCAGTCCACTGGAAGCTCTTTTGCCCCCCGCCTTCCCGCTAAGCGAGCTTCACAACAAGTAGCCCCGACAAATTTGGCCTCTTACCTTACCGTAGACATGTCTCTAGATATTTATATATATTCGCGTATATAAATGTTGTACAATCAGCGACGACGTGCAACAATAAACCAACCGACCGCCCCGGATCAAAAACCCCGGATCAGTACAGAACCACAACCTATAGCTGAATCAGAGCATTATGCCCATAACCCATTTCAACAGTGGCACCTACAAGTATGCGCACTCACTCATGAATAGTTGTCCATCCACTCACTACTCGCAAGGTACCCACACCAACTACTCAAAACTCAGAAGTATAAAACTAAAGCAAGTAAAAGTAACAGTAACAGTAACAAGAAACATTTGAAACGCAGCAAGAAATATATAAAGTAAAAAAGAAATCTAAATGTTTACATTTAAGCAACATAAGAAAAGAAAACAAAAAATCAACTGAAATTTGTGTGTAAAAAACGTATAAAACTTAGCATTAATGAAACTAAAAGAGAAGCGGATGCCGAGGATGTCGACGGAGTCATGTCTATATATACACAAAGATTGAAGCATTATACTTACCAGGAGCAGAACAAAGCGAATATCATGTGCTAAGTATAATTAATTGGAGCAAAGAGGAAAATGAAGAGAAAAAGGCAACTATAGCAGTTATATTCAAGTAAATATCGATCGGAGTTATTTATTGTTTCGTTATGTGCGGAGAGGAGTGGAAATCATTTTAACCGTTGTGGCCGTTAGGATCCATCGAAATCGTTTCCGAGCTACCCTACCTTTCAATTTTAATGGCACTTCTCCGTATTCCCTGCCCTTCCCCTCCCTTCCCTGTTATTATTTATTTCTAAAAGTGAAGACTTTTAAATTATGTTGTTGTGAGAAGAGAGATATAAAGAGCGAGAGCAACTCGGGATCGTAACCGATAACAAATAAATTTAATTTATAGATACTTTTTATGTTTTCTATGATTATTTGTTCAACTAGTTGCGAGACAAAAGTCATAAATAGGCATTAGTTAAGCATCTAAATTTAATGGTAAATAAAAGTAAACAAAGCAAAACCGAAATCAATCGACTAAGAAGACGATGTTTGTAGCCACGAAATGTTCACATCACAACCAAAATGTCTCCCCTTTATATGAAACATACACATGTTTATGTGTTTCCGACCAGTTTGTGTGGAAACCTGTCGCCGATCCTTTGATTTGAGTCCTTTCTCAGTCACACACAATCACAATAACACCCACAACCACACACGGACAACACACACATAAGCATATTCTGAAAATAATCTACGGTAGTCTGAGCATACAAATTTAATGTGGATATATAAAACTAAATATATATATATATTCGAAACATATGTGCAGTACAGTAAGAGGGCGAGAAGGCGATCTTTAATTTGTGCAATTTTTCTCCTGTGTTAGTTAACTTTGTACGGTAGCTGTTAGCCCAGCTCTTTGAATGTGCAGATACAGTATCTGAGGAGCCCAACCTGAGCTTTACTATCTGACTAACGATTTGAATGCTTTACGTTCTTGTATTAAAGATACATTATGCACTAATTTGTACTACTTTTATCGTTTGTCTACTTTTTTGTACTCTAAATCCCTTCACCTGAGTCAAAAAGTTTGTTCGGTTAGGTTAGCCAGTAGAGAAAAACCTTTTCGTTGTTGTTTCATGTGAGTGCGTGCGAGGTACATATTAACTAAATAAACATATATATGAATATTATGTGTGGGACAAGAACCTGAACGCAAGAAAATGAGAAAGCAAAATTCAAGTTATTTAATTTAGTTTGTACATTTAAGTTTATATAGCAAGTGCATATATATACAAATATATATATATATACACATATATATATATATTTATAAACCAACAAATAAGATGAGAAGTCTTGAGAAAAAATAAAACATACAAAAACAACCAAACAAACACAACAAACAAGCATACAATAAAAAACAAATTTGCGAAAAATTAAAAGAATTATAAGTAAAATGATGATTTAAAGAGGAGAGAAGGAGAACAACAAAACACAAAGGAAAAGAAACAAACAAAAAAACCAATAAAATGAATTTGAAATCCTTAAAAAATATATACACATTTCGTGGGCGTTCTTATTCAAACTGTTCGATGGAGCATCTCAAAGGGGAGGAAGGAGGGGGCTCAAATCTGGAATCTGGAGATTGGTAGTTCCAACCACTCTTTGTTAGCTTCTTTTTGTTGGATGAGCTTTTGAAACGAGCATGTGTGGCAATGGAATAGAGGAGCAAATGCTAAAAGGAAAACATCTGCGTTGCACATTCTTTATTATTTTCCATCTCAATTGCCAGAGGTCTTGTCAAAACAAAGTCCTTGAATTCCAGATGCTGTTGAAGGATATTTACATTGCCAGTAAATATACTGTGTGTTACATTATCGGACTTAGGTCAAGATCCTATGTTTTGTCGTTTTATAAAAGATTTCACATTACTCACTTGTACTTGTTTTCAGTCAAATTTTAAGAAGTTTTCGTGCAGTTTCGAGTAAGTATTACTGTTTAAGAACTTTCTTTTGCGTAACTAAAACCAAATATTTATGCACACATGCACTTTTCATCCGTATCAATTCAAGTTGCTCTGCTTGTTCCGTATTGGAAAAGTTTTAGACCAAAAATGGAAACTTCCAACCGGCAGGAACAACAAAGGAAACGGCAAATAAGAATGCTGAAAAGGACTGCGGGACTGTCAAAAAGTTCTGCATCATTTTTGGTTTGTTTCGTTTTTCCGTTGGCTTCCGATTTTCCAGCACAAACACCTATGGCACACATGCCGTCGGCTTATATGCCCCTACATTACACATTTCAGGGCAAAAGCGAAGGGAAAACCCATGAAAAAGGGAAATAGAGAAAATACTGCCTTTATTTTGTTTCCTCGATTTTGGCTGCAGACAAAAGTTGGCGTGTGTACATGCCACGTAACCCAAACACTCGCAAACCCACTCCTTGTACGAGTATGCATATTTATATGATGGCCAAGGGAGTCGAGAAGTGGACGTTCCGAATGTCTGAGGTTATTTATAACCGCACTTTTTCGGCCACACTCCCATTAGCCTCTTGGACTCCATGGCTCCTCCTGCGGCGGTTGCTCCTTTCGCCAAGTTTGTCCTTAAGATGGCCAGGACATGCACGAAAGGACAGCTAAGCAGCTTTTATGCTTTGTGTGTGTGTGTGCCTGGGGCCAGGGAATTTTCCTTTATGCAGGCCGGTGACGGAAAATAATAATTCCCGACATGGCCAACTGAACATCGGAACGGGCATTGTGTTCGAGACATCAAAGAGGAATTTTCCCTATAAATAGACGGCTCACAAGCCCGTGGGAATGGGAATCTGACTCTGAAACTGGTCCGGAAAATGCGATGAATAGTTGGCGGAAATTCGGCTTAAGTTTGATGCAAGAGTTGAAGAGGACAGGTGTGTGGCATGGCAGGTCTTGATAAATTCAATTATATAATGGTGCCATGTGAATAGCGTTTAAATCAGAAATAACCAGTATTTCCGTAGAAAATCATTTGCTTAGTGCTTGTGCTTTAGCCATTCGTGGGTTTTCTCGTTTAAATTGTTTTTTTAATAGATTTATAAAACTTTTAATTAGAATAATGAAACCTATTATATGGTGTTATTATAGTCAAGTTATATACTCTTTTACCTCCACTTTCCAATTAAATGCGAATATCATTAACGAAACCTTTGACATCGAATTATTCATATCGGTGGAGTAAATTATATCCATACCGCTTATTGCCTTATTTATTATTAAATAATGCACAAAGCGCCTTTGAATGGGTTTCACTGTATATCACCTTTCACCCCTCGAGTATATGGGTGTATGGTTTTTCTGGCTTGCCATGCAAAAGTCAAAGAGAAATGAAAGGGACGGCCAATTGGGTTTCCTTCCCAGCAATTTCTTCGAGCATTTGTGGTTAAGAAAATCTAGGTATATATTCAGGTTGCCTGGTCCGGATTGTGCTAACGTGTTTTTGCCTTTGTGGCCATTTGTGCTGGCCCAGCGAAAAGGTGGCAAGCAATTGGATCTGGTAATTGGAAAATAAGTTGAAAATACGTACGTAAACGAGACAAGGACACTTAGGTCTTTGAACCAAAGGAATCCAATCAACTTTTCGACGCTTAATAGTGTTGTGGAAAACCACGGATAAAGATCGAAATGTGGGAGCTTATACCAGAATAATTTATTTAAAATATTCACACAAATATTTTCGGCGCACTAATGAAATGCTGCGAATAATTTATCTGTGCATTTCCGAGCCTTAAATTCTATATTAATCACGAAACTATATTTCGGATGGGCAGACTTAAAATTGCCATAAATCGAGCACAGCATTCCGTTGGCGATCGGGCATAAGGGACTATATTTGTATAAATATATATTACGGCAAAGTGCTGGCAGCTGTGCAAACAAATTCCGAGGGCAGAACACTCGGGGAAATAGAGTAGAAATGGCGACAGAGGTTGGACACTGGCACGCGTTAATTAAAAGTCTATTCATTAGTCTAGTCTGAGTACAGCCAACTTTTAAAGGGAGCCAACTTTTCAAGTGACTGTGACTGTGGCTGTGTGCAAAGAATGATTTATCTGTGGCCTGTTACGTTGCCAGTTCACGCCCCTCCGGATGCCCCTTTGGAAATGTTCCTCTCAAATTAACCATGCATATATGCAACTCCCCCCAAAGTGATCGGAGTGGAACCCGTCGAAATTGCTGCCCGTTCGCAGTGGATAATTGTTACAATTCACTTTGGCTCCACTGCAATTGCTGTGTTGCATCACCCAACGGAACGCAGGCGATGCACTTATAAAAATCGTTATTGCACTCGTACCAATTTCAAGTAATTTGGCTCCAATTTGGGGTTCAAAAACATTAGGGTAATCGATAATGGGCAACAGTCCTTTTAAAAACCTGTTCTATAGGCAAGAATTTGTTTAGTTTTATTTTGTAATATTTGTAATATTTAATAATAATAACACATTAGTTGAACGAAATTTTTGCAATGCTCTTAAGTTTGGAATGTTTTTCTTTCCTTTTCAAATGTTTTTCACCAGCTAATTGAATTGTATCCGTATCTGTATGCACACTTCCGAATTTTTTAGTGTACCCGCGCACCAGGTGAGCAATTCTAATTATTTATTAACATTGGCATTGTTAGCATTGGATATTGATAAACACCAGCGGATTCTCCTGCGCTCGGCGGGCGAATTCGTTGCTGAATGCCGGTCTGGGCCCGATTTGGATGCAGCTGAGTCAGCCGAGTTTTGAATTCATTTTCCGACTGGCTGCACACACAAAGTGACAGAAGCACTCAGCTCCCAACCACCCAAAAGTCGACCCCATCCACCCACTTGACAGCGAGGGTACCGCGATTGCATTCGATGTACGTAAACTGTTTTGTGGCCGTAAGTTTTACGAGCCATTCGAATGCGGCGGTCCAGACTCGATGCCCCTCCCCTCGGCATCGCATATGTGCAATTACTTCGGTGAATTTACTGGT